AGCACAAGGGCTCTCAGGGAGCAGAGCACTGTGCCTGCAGGATTCCTGCTCGGGGGCTGATAAGGACAGGAACTGCATGGCAGAGTTTATCTGTGGAGGGAGAAGGGGTGGAGCAAGAGAACTGGGAAATGCTGGCCTGGACAAGTGTCTGTGGTAGCAGCCAGGAGGAAATTCTCTACTTTGCCCTGTTTGTGGCAGCAGCAGCATTGCTGCCCTGACTCACTTGTGAGGATCCATGACTGGTACATTTTTTACCCGACTTAATTCTTGGAAACAGCAAAATTAGCACAGCAAACTTTCCTTGATATTCTGGGGCTTTTGACACTTACTGAAGCAAGGATCACTGACTCAGTTTCCAGCTGGACCAGGCTCTCGAGGGATACTGGTGGGACAAAGCTTCTGCAGCACTTCCCTGTTGGAGTCTCCTCACCCTGACTGAAGTGCTCAGGCATGCCAGAAGGAAGCTCTTTTTTTTTTTTTTTCTTGGCAGAAGTTGCTGGTTTATATTTAAAAGAACTATTCTAGAGCTTGGAATTTTAATTATTTTGAATCAACTTTTGAATAAATTGTTGCTATTAAATAAAGGATTCATCATCTGGAAAAGACCTTTAACTTTGGCTAGGAATAACTGCTAGACAGTGTGTTTATTTATTTCGGTTTCAATCTGCTGCTGTTACAGACTTTGAGTTTCTTTTCCTGAAGAAACGTGGGGAGGAGGGGCACATAAATCCAAATTTTATTCTGCACTAATTGCCTTGTTCTGAATTGCACAAAACAGTTGATCTTTTTTCACTATAAAATTTCAGGCTAGAAGGATCCTTAACACAAGAGATAATATGAAATGCAAAAGTGTTTGTTGAATAGGAGATGGAAGCTTCTCTCTGTGTGATAATTTACTTTTCTTGTTTCACAGCTAAAACTGGCCTGTTGTGGCTGGGTGAGATGTAGCAGCACTACAGCCAGGAGAGGGGGTGAGCTGCATCCAGTTTGATTGAAGTTTTTTTTTCTGCGTGGTGAAAACAGGTATCCTCACCCAGCAAAAATAAATTCCACCTAATGTGAATTTTGTTAGCCATTAGTTTTTGCCTGGAAAAGAGCAAGAACTAAGAAAAATTAGCCAGAGACATTTGAATGTAATTGGAACATATGACAGCAAAAGGGTCACTCCTATTACAGCAGACAGTTAAAAATACATATTTTTATCACCCTATGTTGAATTGAACATCCTCAGATCCATGACAAATGGACAGTTGGAAATGAGGGGTGACAGGTTGCCATTTTCTTCCACTTATGGTTATTTTTCTTCTAGGAATGTGGCTGAAGACCTTTGAGGAACTGTGCAGCATCACTGTTCCTCAGCAAAAAGCAGCATTTCTGCCATGTGGAGGCTTCAAACAGCCCCACAAACTGCTAATGCACCTGCTCAGCAGTGTGCTGTAATGGCAATAATGAACAATAAATGCTGCTGCCTCCTTCATAGCATTACCAAACCTTTATTTTCTCCAGGAAAGTTTACAAAATCCTAAGTCATCCTGTGCCCAGACTGGCCATAAAAATACCTTCCACAGGTTACAAAAGAACACTTTGTGTTGTAACAAAGGTCTTAATTTTTTTTCCTGTTTGCCTTGGACTTCCCAGTCATTTGTATTTATTTAGAAGTGACTTCCAGCTGTACCCCTAACAAAAATTCAGCAATGTAAAGACTTGATATATAAGGTTCTGGGCATTACATTTGCTTAAATTTGTAAAGCTCACCTGTATTAGAAGTGTGTCTATAAAGGAAAAATCCTAGGAATGTATAAAACTTGTTTTTGCAAAATTTGAGTTGATCAAGTCTGTTGGCCACTGGGTTGATCAGTGATCTACAGCAACAGCTTTTGGTTTCTTTTCCCAGCCTTGATGTTGAGGAACTTGTCTATATTTTGAATTTCAGCTTTGTTAAGTACTTTCAAACTTAATAGTAAGATGTTATTTGTGGTTGCAGCCATTACAAGGCAGATTACTTTCCAAACACTCAGGAAATTCCTAATTCAAGGGAGAAAGGAAGGAAACAGGAAAAAAAAATTATAATTAAGCCAGATCTAAGTAACACAAGTAACACACCAAGGAAAGGTCTATAATAGAATTCCCTCAGGGAGGGGAGCAAGGCTGGTGCCTGGATGATTCCACAGGAATGGATCTTTCATGGCAAGTCTCTGGTGGAAAGAACACAGGGCTCCCTTCCCCAGTGGAAAATCTCTGTAATTCTGTCAGGCATTGTGTGACCTGTAATTATGGCCCTGTGCTCTTTTATTAATTTATACTCCTACTTTACTTTGCTTGTGTCCAAGCACATCCGTATTGTGATGCAAATTCACCAGCAGCATGAAGGCCAAGTTCCAAGTAAGTGTTCCTAAGGGAGTTTTTGTCATACCTGTTCAAATCACGAGTCAGGGAATAAAAAAGAAAACCTGCATTCGAAACATTAATTTAACATGTTAGTACAGATCTGGATTCATTAATAAAATACAAACTCTCTGATGACCAAACCGGTGCAAACTTAGGTTTCATTTACCCGTGTGAGAGGTTTTATTTCTCCCTGTGCCTCTCCTGAATTTCCCATGGAGTACAATTCTCAGAATAAGCATGGCTGTAATGCAACCTTGCATCAAACAAACTGAAGTTTGTATGTATAGACCACTTGGATATTTCCAAAGAAAATAAACATGATGTTGGTCTTAATGTGTTCAGCAGCTTTGCTCTTCAGAAGGATGAAGAAAATGGTATCTTTGAGTATTTCCTTTCATTGGATTGCAAATGAGGTACTACAAATTTCGAATATTTTGTCTTAAAATACCATTTCCTTTGTAAGGATAACAGTTAACTCCTTTGTCTGTGTCTGTAACTGCAAGAAACATCCCACAGAACCCCAGACTGGTTTGCGTTGGAAGGGTCCTTAAAGACCCCCTGCCACGGGCAGGGACCCCTTTATCTGCAAATCAATATCACAGCTTCCATTTGTCCTCCTGGCACACTCTGATTTCACCGTGTCTGCACTGGGGGAAAGCACAAGGTCTGTGACAGGAGGCACCACGAGAAATGATTCAAAGATGGGCCTGCATCTCCTGTTTCAGACCTGTTAAAACAATGCCCCTCTCTTCTCCCCTGGCAACAAGTTCCAGGAATGTGTTACCTGTTGTAATTTTTAACCTTTTGTAGTTGGGATTGATGCCTCCTCGTTCCCTTTTCAGGGAGTTGGTGATCAGATCTGCTCCTGCACGGTACTCAAACTTAATCCTAACAGCCTCTGGCTAAGTTGTTTCAGCTGGTGGCCATTTAAATCTCTTTCTAGACATTTCTCCCTCTGATGTTGTTGGTAGAACAGGATTAATCCTGCTGTCAGGAGCACAGGGCAGCCATGGCAGCTGTTCCCGGGGGTACGGGCAGGAACTCCGGCCGAAGTGCCCCCAGCATTCCCCAGCGAGGGAGAGTCAATAAAGACCTGCAGGGCCGATCAATGGCTTTGGTATTTCCCTTCCCCGCCGTGCCCGAGCCGAGCCGGGGGGGCCGGGCAGGGCAGGGCTCCCACCCCGCACCGCTCGGAGCGGCTGAGTTCCGACTTATCGCTCTCCGGCTCCTGCCCGCCCCCAAACCCTGCTCCTGCCGCTCGCTCCATGCCCGTGTGTCAAGGGCCGCTTCCTTGGCCGCCTCCTGCGAGCATTAACCGGCTTTGCCGTCCTGAACGAGAGACTGGGGCGAGTGCCAGAGAGGCAGAGTGAAACTTTTCCGCCGTGACTTTGGCCGTCACCACCCCCCTGCCCGGTCACTCCCTGTGCCCTCCCTCCCTCCCGGTCTCTCCACTGCCCCCGACGGCGGCTCTGGCTCTCCCTGCGGACCCCCCCCCTCCCAAAAAAACCCCAAATCATCAAGTGCGATCCGCTTTAATCTCGCCTTCAGAAAAGTTCACTTTATTTACAAGGGGGGTGCCCGGGGTTCCCCCCTGTTTACACACACACATTTGTAAAATTAGCCAACCCCCCTGACAAAAACGCAAAGGAATGGCTGAGAAATAAATAAACCTCTCCCCCGCTCCGAGGTGGAAAGGCTCCAAGCCAGCGGGGCTCTGCTCCACCCCGGCCCGGGGCTCAGGCGATCCTGCTGCAGAATTCGTCGAAGTCCCTCTCCATGAAGAGCTCGCTCTCGATCACATCGTCCTCCGAGGGGAAGTACTGCTGGCTCTCCTCCTGCGGGGAGCCCGCGGCCGCACCGCCCCCGGCTCCGGCCCCAGCCCCGGCCCGGGCGGGCGGGGAGCGAGCGGCGGGTCCGGGCTCCCCCGCGCACTCCATCAGCGCCCCGCGGGCGTTCTCCAGCACCCCCAGGTACGAGTCCATGTCCAGCGGGTCCATCTCGCAGTCCGACCCGCCGCTCTCGGTGCCCACCGAGTCCGAGCGCAGGTGCATGAGCTGGTACTTCTCTCGCATCAGGAACTGGTTGGTGTTGCGGGGCGCCCGCATGCCCGGCGCCCGCCGGCCCAGCACATTGACGGGCCGCAGGGAGAGCAGCACCCGCGGCCGCGCCGGGCGGTGGCAGCGGCGGAAGGCGCGGCAGTGCTGCTGCTGCAGCTGCTGGTGCTGGTAGTGCTGGAAGTGGCTGTGCGTACGGCTGCCCAGCAGCTTCCGCGCCCCGCCGGGGACCCTCCCGCGCCGCCCGGGCGGCCAGCGGGAGCGGCTGCCGCCCCGCCGGGGCTCACCGCCCTTCAGCGGCGTCGGGGAGGCGCCCCCCGGCACCCCCTCGCCGCGGGCGGGCTCCCAGGGCGGGCACACGATGAACTCCGCTCGGCGCAGCATCGCGGCCCCCCGGCCTCTCACATGCTCCGAGCCGCCGGGACGCCCCCGCCGCGCTGTTCCTGCGCCGCCGCCTCTCCGGCGCGTCCTCCCCTTCTCTCCGGGCTGAGCGAACGCTTCCCAAGAGCCCTGCGGGGGCCTCTGCGGGCGCCTCTACCTTTTCACGATCCGCTCTGTTTTTTTCTTGAGCGGAGCCCGTTGGCAGCGCATAGCCTGGCTGAACGGCTGCGGGCTGCGGGGCAGCTTGACGGGTTCCAAGCCGCCGCTTCGGAGATGGTCTCGCCTACTCCCCGGGCGGGCGCTGCCGGGCTGTCAGCGCTGCGCCGGGCACGGCGGGCCGAGGCAGGGCCCGGGAGCGAAGCGAGCGAAGGGAAGGGAGGGCGCCGAGCCTCAGGGACCGCACAGGGAGCGCGCGCACCGCCCGCCGCCCCGCGCCCGCTGGCGGCGCGCTCCCGCGCAAGCCTTACTTATCACCTCCGGCGCAGTCCAACTGCTGCCGCGCCGCGGGGGGGTGCCGGGGCAGCACAGCCGCTCCTCAGCCAGCCTGTCCCCGCCAAACTTCGCCCTCTACGTCCGGGCGGCGCGAGGGCTCCGCGTCACTGCAGCCCGCGCGCTCGTACCTCCGGTGTTATCCCGAGTTATCCCTGGTTATCCTGGGAATCTTTCCCCCCTTGGGCGCGCTTTGGCTTGGCTCAGAGCAGCGGGCGCATTTTGTACATCTCCTATTCACGAAGACCATTTACGCTCAGCTCCCCGCGCAAGCACCGTTGCCCGCCCGCTCCTTGCAGCGGCGCCACGCAAACCGCGTACGGCGCTCGTCCCTTGCAGCGGCACTACGCAAACCACGACGCAAACCGCGTACGGCGCCCGTCCCTTGCAGCGGCACTACGCAAACCACGACGCAAACCGCGTACGGCGCCCGTCCCTTGCAGCGGCGCTACGCAAACCGCGTAAGCCGCCCGTGAGGGGCGCTGGNGGGGGGGGGAGGCGGCGAAATGGCCGCGGGGGCAGCGGGGGGGCAGAAGGGGCGGCCTGAGGCCGGCACCGAGCGCTGGAAAAGCCGCGACGCTCAGTGCCAGTGTCCGCGGCCGCCCTTCCTCTGGAGCTCCAGGCTGCGGCCGGTGCCACCGCCAGGAACGGTGACCTTCCCGCGGGTCCCACAAAATGGTGCCCGCGCCTTTCCCCTCTGCCGCTTCACGCCAGGGGAGTCCCCTCCTGGGGTTTCACGGTGGTTTTTTTTTTCTTGTTTTTTTTTTTTTTTTTCCTTCTCTCTAGCTTTTCCAGCTGAATCGGTGTTTTTTCATCAGTATAGAGTGAAAAATGAGAGCAGAGACATTCATTTTTGTAGTTTGGGGAATGCCACAGTTACTTGTGCTGGACCTTGGTCCCTCTACTACAAATTTCCCCTGTTTTCTACTCTGTTTTGGTTGGGGTTTTTTTTTGCCCTGTATGCAACTAATCTGACAGTGTTCACCCCTTCCCCACGGCCAATCTGATAATGAAAAATAATCTCAGCGTTGCACAAATGCTCCCAAGTAAAAGCTGTTCATTAATAAGGGCAGCAACTCTCAGGCAGGTAACATTTTATTACAATTTAACAGTGAAGAGCAAAGAAGTACAAAATACACAGGGGGAGACGAGGTAAAAGTCTAGATTTGGGCTAGCTATGGAGTCAACGTTGCCAAAAACAAATTGTCAACATTTGTCTGTTTCACTGCTTTAGAGAGTATTTCTAAGCAGTGTTTGTTTCAAATTCAATTCAGGAATTATATGGTATTCCATTTAAACTCAGCTGATGTTATCACCTGTGTGTTTACAAACTAAAGGCCAAAATGGAAGGAGTTGGCAGGGGAGCAAGCAGCAGCTGTCTAAAGTTGTCTAAAATCTGCAGCCTCTGAGATGTGAGGGAATGTGAGAGCAGGGGGGGCTGCAGCGCTTTCAGAGTTCACCGGGTGT